TTGCTTCGCTGTCAGTCGAACAAACGAAGACTAAAGCGTGAATGACGTTCTGTATACGATTTTAACGCCCTATAAATTCGGACACTTTTTAGCGCGGACCCGACGTCCATATAATTGTAAGTCAATGTTAGATAATTTTCGTTTGATAATTTATAACCAATCAAAATTATGTTATCTTAGTACTAATGTAAGATTACAAATGTGTGCGTGTGTCGACACCGGTTTTGATACAAATGTTGCTTGATGCCATTTCCATTATTTTCTTTCTTCCGTGGATTAGAAAGAGACGTTCAATATTCAAAGGCGAGGCGATTATCGCTCACGTGGACGGTCGATAATCGCAAATGTTTAGACGAGGAAAGTTTTTTATATTCTTTCGATAATCGTATCTTCGAGACGAGAAACTCTCTCCATCTAAATGGGCCTTTACGGTTCTAAACCGGAACTCAGTAATGCTGACAGTGGTAAATGCGGAAATACTCGTAGGTAAGGTGGCAGTGCTTCCTGGACGAACTCTTTCACAGGGAGCTTTACTGCTTACTAAAGCGACAATCCTAAAAACCTAAGAGCTCCACACTAACCAGTGTTAACATCATACAGTTTGGCAGTGTTATCCATGGACCCAGTAGCAGCGTAGTCGCATTTCACGTTAAACTGCGCAGTTACGACTTCACCGGTGTGACCCCACAGCGTGGCCAGGCACTCGCCTGACTCCGGGTCCCAGATCTTAGCCGACTTGTCGAACGAGCTCGTTATTACTCTGTTGCTGGAAATATAATTCTGTTCTAATCATATGGAATTTTACATCAGGACAATGTTTGTATTAAATTGTAGACAATTGTATTTTTTTTAAATATCAAGTGACGGGGCGAACACGTCGAGCGTCTGTTCGTTACAGTTGCAGTGCCACTCAGAGCTTTAAATAACAACGACATGAGGGGCACTGCTACTGCGCCCGTTACCCTGAGACGTACGTTGATAAGTCTCACTCATGTGCCTGTAATTTCACCAGCACCCAAACCGGTACGCAGTAACGCTGACATTACTGCTTAACGGCAGAAATAGGGAAGGTAGCAGTACTACTCTGGACGAACTCTTTCACAAGGAGCTCTACTGCTACTACACGGAGAGGAAGAGAAGACCCATGTCTATTAGATGTAATAATGCTCACCCCCAGGTTTGCTCGTCGCACCAAAGATGTTAAGGTTTCATTATTTAAAGCGTACAGCCAAAACTTTTACACGAGCTACCTGGGGGTGAAGTATACGCAAACCCTGAATATATTAAGGGTGCAATATAACAACGCTTTTAGGATGATAATGATGCTGCCGCGACACTGTAGTGCATCCGGTATGTTCGCAGACGTGTATACAAATGACTGACAGAGTCCTCACTTACGATGCGTGTGCGCGGCAGCGCTAGCATCCTAGCCGTTGCTGCCAACAGGATTTACGGAGGATTTTATGGAGTACAACTCACGTGCGGAATGTAGTGGTCTAGCCGTGCCATTTTCTCTAGCAATACCGGCACGCTATGATGGCCGTTTTGACAGATTACAATAGTGAGGTCAAATCTGAATTCGTTATCGAAAAAAATACAATCAAATGCGAGTCGCGCTTATAAATTTTTAGATTATAACTGGTATTGCAAGGGCTAGCTGATTAAAAAGTTTTAATTAAACGAAAATACAAATGTTTACTTAATATATCGTCAATTCGAAACTTTGTTTTGCATTGAGCTTTGACGCGAGTTTGCCGGAGGTATAAGTTGTGCAGGCCAGCGATCGTAAAGTGACGATCGTATTAGATTTAATTAAAAAAAAAAAATCGAATTTCGAAAAACAAATGTCTGGCTGTGTCGTAAAATTATACATCCATAGATTTTACCGCACGTGAGTCACTATCGACAATAATGTACAGCAATTAGTTCCTTCAACGTAGTTATGAAGTAATACGAAACTTGTTAAGCGGACAAACGTCAAAACGGCCATCACAGTGTGCCGGTACGTTATGTCTTTTTGGATTGTACTAACCATAGTGTGTAAAAAATACTATATTACCATGGACCAATCAGCCAGGAGGACCGTAATTGAAAAATGTCAAAATTCTGTTTTACATTTAGATGGCGTCGATCAATAGCCTGGAGGTAGTTTATATTAATGTAAATGGCCTTAGATATCAGTTAATACCTCTTTAATGGGAAATAGAAGAAGTCAGTCTATTTCCTTGTTATATTATTCAAATATTGACCATGAGCTACATAATTATTTTCTGAACTTTGACAAATAAGTATGCGTATTAATAGATGGTGTTGTCTGTTAATAAGGGTAGATGGCGCTGATCCTAATCAAATAAAAGAACAGCCGGCAATATCCATGAAAATCTGTGGAATAAGTGCCATCTAATAGATAGCCCATAGAGATGAAACGGATATCCGGTAACTATCCGGTATCCGGCCTATCCGGCCTATTTTTAATATCCTGCTGAATACTGGATATTGGAATAATATCCGCCCGGATACCGGATATTTAAAAGTGAGAGTATTACACAATTGGTACTCCAAATATTTTTTTTTACATTAAAATGATAGTAATAGGATAAATAGCAACCACAGGATCGTACATAATCTGTTTATCACTTGTAACTGAAAGTACTATAAAGTTAGATAACGCTAACTGTAAATTTAGCACTCAAATTTCAGTGGGTGAAATAGGGTGGAAGACCAATTTTTCTGCATTAAGTGGTAAATGTTGGTTTTATTTATTTTCATAAACGATACCTGCTTCAGAGGACAGCTTCTCACTATAAGCACTTTGTTAAATTTTAAGTACTACTTGTTATTGCCAGACGAAAGGATCGCGATCACGATTGATTTGAACTATCTTCAAATACAACGTGTACCTGCAATAATGAAACGTGTATATACGTAGTACGTGTAAGTACATAATTAAAATATTTTTTTTTGGCAAACCTGATACCGATGCTTAAAATTAGTTAGATCACAAGAAAATTAATGAAATTAAATTGAAATAGCCTAACTTCGGTTAAAAAAACCGACCTCAAAAGACATTCATCTCCTAGTTTGCCACCCTAAGAGGTGGAATATTTTCTTGAAATTTAAATTATACCACATCTGAGGTACTTTCTTTCCAACAAAAAAAGAATTATCAAAATTGGTTCACAAATGGCGGAGATATCGAGTAACATACATACAAAAAAACACGAATTGAGAACCTCCTCCTTTTTTGAAGTCGGTTAATAAAATAATAACAAGAGTTAGGCTTGCACTTATAACTAAACATTTTAATCTAGTCAAAGGACGATGTAATTGCTTTTTTCCTTCTCCACTATGAGAAATTTGCATTCGGCACAACTAACAAACCAATACTAAAATGTTTATTAACATTTTTCTATTGTGTTTGTTTGCATTATCGAATAAATTAATCGTTTTTATAAAAATCAAGTGATCACAACAAATCAAATCGTTAATGTGAAAGTGCAATCATTCACTAATCAATCAATCACGGCATAGCGCTCTGTAAACCGGTCGCGACATGTTTACGGCGGTGGATCAGATATCCGGCGGCCGGATAACCGGCTATCCGGCCTAGACGCTCGCCGGATATCCGATGTCCGGTATCCGGCCAATCACTATCCGTTTCATCTCTACTATTTGGTACTCGTGGCGACATCTGTTGTACAACTAAATACTCGACTATACTGTCTTGTATTGCGATTAACAGCACTCTGATTTATTGGTCCATGGTATTACTAACATTACTATGGATTATGGTCTGAAATAAATAATTTTATTCTATTCTATTCTATTGGTAACGATACCCAGGCTTACCATAAAGGGAAGTTGAAGGCGACTGTATATACAACGTTCTGGTGGCCAGATAAAGTCTTCAGCTCCTGACCCTGTTCCACATCCCATACCTTACAGGTCCTGTCGTAACTACCGGTTAGGCATCTGAAAGGCCATATGTGGATTACATTTTGTAAAATCTTAAAGTTGTAAAATATCCTTATTAAACGTATTTTAATCTTGTAACGTTGTCGTCGCGCTAATTTGTAAGATTAATAATTAATCTACCTGTTTAGTATAACAACATATTTACATTAACATCTATTCACAATTATTATCTATTTATAAATAAAACCTGGTTATTTTAAATGCTTAATCTCCTTATAAAAAACTAGAAATCATCCACGTAAACTGGAAACAGATAGTTTGCATTAGTATGTTTATCAGGCGCTTTTGTATTCGAGAAGCAGTTACTGTACGAGTGGACGAGTGTAAGGTCGGCCCGGTCATTTTGTTCTGTTGGCGGGACCGAGAAACACATAACACACACAACAACAAACACATATTTCTAAAATTCCAAAAAGGTTCCGATCTGTGCCAATTAATAGTAAATTGGAAACCAATTTTTCCTATTTAAGGAAGAAACGGTAAAGCAACAACAGGTCGTTTTATCCCATTTATCACCACTGGTAATATATGGGTTCTTTTGACCATTTGTCGCCAGTGGTGACAACTGGGAGTAAGCCAATGTTAGCACGCATTCAATCATACTATCTAAGTGATGAAAAACGTTACAATGTTTCACGGGCGGCGCGGGACCTCGATTCTGAAAGCTCAGTCTTCGCCTTCGCGCTTCTAATTGAATCTCGCTCGTAATTCCTAATTTACCGCCTTTAATACACAATGTACAATTAATTATAGTGTAAACAATCAATAAACTTTCACCTCTTTCCACTTTTATCAAAAGCAACATTTGTAACTGGCAGGCAATGGGTAAGAAGAGTCTTGTATATGTAGAAGCGTTTTCCGGAAGGGCCTTCATGCTCGATTCTTTTCTTCAGCGTCTCTAGGACTTGCTCCAGGTCTTCTTTGACGTCTTCTGTTAACAGCTTCTCCTTGGCCAGTAGCTCATTGGCAAGTTCCTTTGTGTCACAACTAAAGGGAAGAAATAAAAAATTGGAAGCGAAAAAAATTCAGAATGAAGGCATAACTTACTTCATTGTGTACTTTTTTTTATGATACCGGGTAACGGCATGGACAAGTCGTGCGTCTAATGGTAAACGACACGCTTGTCTATAGCAGTGCCACTCAAACCTTTAATTCGAAATGTAACTTACTTGGCATCAAGTTCAAGTAGATCAATTTCCTTATTTTTAGTCTCCCCTTTCTGAGTATACTCCAAAACAATCCCCGGAGGGTAATATCTCAGATGGATCTTCAAGAGCTTCATTATTTTCTAATTTAATATAATTTTCAATAATTAAAAATCCATATCGGGCTTTTTGTTTTGTTACAAACGGTGAGAATTTTGTCAATACGGGTTGGCATGGTGATGACGCGGCGCGGCACTTGTTTGTAGTCAGTTTCAACTTTTTCTTTAATTTTTCAAATGGCTAAGTAAGAAAGATTCATTGCCATCATGTGCGTCGAGGTAGACATAAATAACAATAAATTCTGGTTATCGAAAGGTGAGATTTGAAAAACGTGGGAAAATTAAAAAAAAATCGTATGGTATCAGAGGTATAGAAGAAAAAACTTATTTGTTATGCAAGGCTGAAAATAGATTCTTGAGAGTAGCGAGTAACGGTTTCAAGCCACGAGACGCAAAACAACTTTGCTACCGAGCGAAACATATAACTTTTCACCTCACTATAGCGAGGAAAATGGTAGATCAAAGAAAAACAGTTGAACTATAAAACAACAGTTTTTTTAATCAAAAGAAAAATTTATCTTCGGATGCGTTCTGAATTAGCACCTCATCAATTTTTATTCTCGCTTGTACTTATAATTTTGTGTGATTTAGCGATTCTTGAAATTGTTTTAATTCTTCGACGAATTCAAATAATTTAATATACACAATTATGTAGTTATCATTGTCAATTTAATGTCAGCAATAATAAGAATAAAATACAACAACGGATTTATATAACATAAATAAGTAATGTACGACTTTGTCGTACATTACTTTGTCGCATAGTGGAACGTGTTATTATCTTTTTTTTTTTCCATGGAAAGAAAAAGTTAGGTGCACCCATTGACTTACAATTATATGGACGTCGGGTCCGCGCTAAAAAGTGTCCGCAATTGTAAGGCGCTAATATCGTATACAGAGCGCGACACTCCGCTTTAGTCTTCATTTGTTATACGGACAGCGCGATACTGCGATGACATAACAATTTAAATTTCGAATAGGTTGACTTGGGACATTTTTTTCGTGGTTTTTGTATTAGACCCGTCGTCCATTTATTTGTAAGTCAATGGGTGCACCACAGTCCATCGTCAAGTTCGAATTTCAAAAACCTTTTCCAAGCTAGCGTGCAAAAAATGCTTTTGCGCGCATATTTCTACTGAGAAAGAAAGCTTTTCCAAGCTAGTGAGGCGAAAAATAATTTTGATACTACTACAATGGGAATATAATGTATTTTTTGAGATTTCTGTCAATCATGTATGTGTTCACAATTTAGGTATGTTATAACCAACCGGGTGAAATTGTTGGCGGAAGCCTATGGGCTCCGTAATCTCCGAAGCCGAGGTAAGCTCTGTAATGACATAATGTAGAAAAGTATAAAAAGTAGATAAAACATTAAATGTCCAATTCTATGCATGCTTATTTGCATACTATGCTTCGGTGGTTCTATAAAGATATATTATACAAAAAATAAACGCATTTATTGTAATTTTATATTCACCCATCATTATCTTATGAAATTAGACTCTATATTTTTTTGTGGACCTAACCATTTTGCATCGGTCTTGTTAGAGCCAAAATTGAGAAACGTCAGAAATACACATATCAAAAGGGTCACGGCATTTTAGCAGCGATGCAAACGCGATTCAGTAGCGATGCTGTCGCTAATTGTCTACCTTTACACACGCGCACGATTTCGAGCATCCTAGAATATTCAGGAATCAAGTACGTTTTTGCCAATTACTGAAAATCAGGTATTTTAATTATTTTCTTAACGTCAATGATTTATTGGTCAATATCATAATTTCAAAAATAATAATGAGTTGGGTTATCTATATCGTCGTTTATTTACCTACCTACGTTATCAGATTTGCGAAAATTTTATTTTTCAAAATTTGCTACTTCATTGTTAAGACGTCAATATGTTTTACACCTCTGCAGTGTTGAGTACACAATTGTAGCATTAAGTATCGTTTACACAAGATCGTTTTGACCTTCACACAAATTTTTCAGTGTTATTATTATAAATTAAAACTATAATATATAATTATTGATGTAATGATTGAACAACCTTTGTTGGTAGGTCAATAAACAAACACAAAGGAATATTCCTTTGACCCGGCTGGACTTGAACCAGTGTCTGTTGTGTGTAGATTGAAGGTATTTGTCTTTGTGTTTTTCAATCTTAAGATTACATGCTACCAAAGCTCGGATTACAATTTTTCGCAAAATAAGGTTCATTTTGCTTACGTTGAGCATTCAGGAGAAAAATACGAATAAAAACAAAAGAGGTATCAAAAAATATGATCAATTGTGTTTATAGAATTCGGCTTGGCTAATTATCAGGCGGGACCGACCTGTTGGTCTTCAGGATCAGCTCGTCCATGAGTCTGCGCCATAGCGGCTGCACCTGCGCATCGCGGCGGTGTGCGGCGAGCAGAACGGCAGCGACGCCAGTGACACCAGCAGCACGGTGCTGTAGCTCGTGCTAGTGATCGTGCCGTACAGGTTCACGATTTGGTACTGTGCGCACGAGACGTCACTTGTTACCTGCTATGCTAAATTCGATTGGCTTGAGAGTCTATACTACCTCAGGCCGATTAAAATTTTTCCTGTCGAACGGAATTAAAACCATTTGAAAAGTGTATATCGTATAGTATACGTGTTCTATGTAATTCAGTTGATATAAGCAAAAAATCATTGGTGTATGTGAAGTACCTATTTAAAACAACGGTTTTCTTGTGAAATTTCGAGGTAAGTTTGTGCTTCTTTTTCTATCGTGAAAATTTTTAAGAGTCGTGTTTTCACATAGTATAGTAATCAGTGTGTTATCCTCAAGTAATTGATTCAACATTTTCCCTGTTGTGCGTAATCAACCAAAGCCATTCCAGATAGTGTAGACTGTTTAAGCATAATGGTTTGACCAATCGCCTTGCAAGCGAACACTGACGAATAATCGTTTTTAAAACAATATAAAATGTAAAAAAATACGTTTTTAATTAAATTTTTATTGAATTGATATTCAATTATTTTTTGTGAAATTACTCCACTAGTTTGTTTAATTATTAATACAAAGATCGAACACTCAGAAAAAACACTCAGAAAAAATTCCTTCGATCCGGTCGGATTCGAACCGACGTCTTCTTGCATACCGTGCCAGACGCTATACCAACTAAGCCACGGAACGAACCAACGGATCTCACGAATTTTTCTATGTGCTTGCGTCGTGTCTTTGTACTTGGTCTTTCAACGACTTTTTAGTCGTAGCGCCATCTATGAGAAATCTATTACAGATTTATCACCCAGTTAGTACCTTTATAGCTACCAGTCCTGGCGAGAGATGTCGCTATTCACTGTATTAATTAAATTTTTATTGAATTGATATTCAATCATTTTTTGTGAAATTACTCCACTAGTTTGTTTAATTATTAATACAAAGATCGAACACTCAGAAAAAACATGTTTACGTGTTTACGTGTGTAAAAACATGGCTTAGTTGGTATAGCGTCTGGCACGGTATGCAAGAAGACGTCGGTTCGAATCCGACCGGATCGAAGGATTTTTTTCTGAGTGTTCGATCTTTGTATTAATAATTAAACAAATACGTTTTTTTTAACTCTTTTTTGTCAGTTAAAAAAAAATATCTTTACAAATTCGTTGCTTTCGGTGTGATACTTCAAATTGCTTTGCTATACAACATAAAGTAGAATGTATTTGAAAAAACATAGATGATTCAATGCAAGAAGGAAAACAAAGCAAAGATTAGCAGCTAGACAAAAGCTATCTCGGTGCCCTAGATTTGAGGCTCACGGAAACAAAGGTTTTCTTAGACATCATAGCTTGCACCTTGAGTGTAAATACGGATTCTGAAAGGGAAGAGACTACGCTTTTTTTTTACGTAAACAACGTACTCCTTTGGTCACAACTTCACGTAGAGTTCAACTTCTACTGCTACAAATACAAGTAACAGTAGAGTCACTTGTGAAAGTAGTACCTATTTCTGCCGCCAAGCAGTAAGTCAGCGTAACTGCGTTCTGGTTTTGAAAGGTAATGTTGCTGGTGAAATTACAGGCATATTGAAGTTGTCAACGTATGTCACGTATCTCAAGGTGACATACGTTTATTAATAAATGCTATTACAATTTAAATGAATACTTTGATGACAAATACAAATAATAATATAAAGTATAATAAATTGGATAATAAATAAATCTTAATTATATACTATAAAGTTATGCTACTAGAATCTAATTAAATTCAAACTTTCAAGTGACATAATTTTGCTTATTATATGACATATTTTTTATTTTATATCATTATTTGATAAATAACGATTCTAATTAATAATTGACACGTCGGCCTATCTCTGCTCTTATTGTTATCCCTAATAAAGGGCTCATATGTGTAGTATCTATTATTTTCATTTTAAGACATGTACCATATGAATGCAATAAATATATTGAGTATTAAAACGTCACGGGCGCAATAGCAGTGGCGTGTCGCTTACCATCAGGGCACGACTTGTCCGTCCCGTCTCTCGGTGTCATTAAAAAAACCGGCGTGCGAAAAGCGTCAACAACATGCGTAAATGCGACTAATATGAAAATAACAATTTAAAATCATAAATACAATATCCGATCGAAGGTATTGTTCTTTGCGTTAATAATTATAACAAACTATTGTAGTGGAGTAACTTCACAAAAGATAAATTGGTATGGTAGTAAAACATCACAATATTCATTACAATCAATATTGTAAGGTTAAAATCATTGCCAAGTCTTAATAATAATAATAAATGTTTATTTCAGTAATACAATTAACTTTACATTAACAGTGGATGGTACCTCCTATTAATATGTCAGGAGGCACCGCTCTTCCATAACTATAAATGCATATTTAACATTATTAACTTATACTTAATGTAGTGTTTAATTTTTACATTAATTCCAAAGATCGACAAAAACAAAACAAACAATTTTTTTTTTAACAATTTTCAATTTTCTTGACCTCTAATTTTAAATTTAATTTGAATCTTAAAAAGTATGTGTGTGCATTTGTATATGAAAAAGTATGTGTGTGTGCGTGCGT